TCAGATAAGATCTGGGAAGATTAATTCATCAATGTTCTACAACATTTGAAGCTATCGGCCTCAAGAAGTTTGACAAAAATTGATGAAATACTAACCTTTGCGTTATTTGAAAGGTGAACTTCCTTATCATCAAGTAAATTAACATACAGATTCTTTTTCTCCTATTGCCAGGAAAAACTGACCTCGATCTGAGGAGATTTGAGTCAAGATCCTTTGTTTACTTTAGTCGGTGGGTGTATTCAGAGCTGATATACTCAGTTTAATTTTCCTTGTGCGAGCCGCGTGACAGGGTTAGTGTATGTTACGAAGAGTTTATTATTTTAGTTTATATCGCTAAGGATTACTGATCTAGGATCACGAAGATTCCTTACGAAAAGATAGACAGCCAGACCAAAAATTCTTTTAAGGGTGATCAGAAGCGGATATAAAGGAAAAGAGAGTCCATACTAAACAAGCAGCATATCTCAATCATGTTCTGGTCGTAATTGCAGCAACGACATTAGTGATAAGAACTGGAAAAGACCTTATATATGAAAAGAAAATCAGACAGCGAGGTCTTTTCAAACATTTTCAATTCCATTCAGAATCAGAAAGTTTTTCGACCCGTTAAATTGCATACTATCAGCTCCCGTCAAAATGAGTTCTTTTCAGTATCATTCTAATCCAACCTCTTTAAAGTGAATCATTGCATACTGTGCTGTAGAGGCAACCCCTAAATGTGTCTTGAATTGTATATTTGGTGTCGAAATCGAGGAATTCAAGTCAAACAAGGGAATGGATTTTTTTTAACTTTTGTATTTCTGGAAGGAAAGGGTGTAAAGATATTTAGCCACATTTTTGGTTGCTCCATCCCGGTAGATGTATTAAGGTTTTGAGATTGTGCTTGTAAAGAAATCTCCCCAAACTTTTGGTCGTTCCATCTCAGTAGATGTATTTCGGTTTTGTACGTCTAAGTTTGGTTGTTCATGATGGATCTGAGCGTAAAAACTGAAACCTATATTTACCTTCAGACAACGCCATCTTACCAAACAAGCTTTGTCAAGAAAGGATTTATTATATAGCAAAAAGATTTCGCTTTAATAGGGTTCAAGAATGACTTGTTGATTTAGAGAGCCGAAAAAGAAAGTCAACTGTGTTTGAAGCACAATAAACTCAAGAGGGTCGTTTATGTTTCCTTTATTTTGACTGTCTTTTGGCGGTTTTTTGCGAATTTATTGCCAACATTGTCCAAAGTGTCAAATTTTGTGAGTCAGCTCGTCTTATTGCCCGACCGGGCAATATGGGCCCATCTTTCCCGCTTGAGTAGCCAATCAGAGTACAGGATTCCCTGCATATATTTCCCATAGGCGCTGCCAGCCATGTTGTATAACATTTATAAAAAGAACTGGAAAAAAAGATATATTTGTAAATGAAAAGAAAATTGCATGCAACCAGGTCATTTTAAACATTTTTAATTGTGTTCATAATAAGAAATGAATTCAACCTGTTAAATTGCACACTATCAACTCCCGTTAAAATGAATTCTTTCCAGCTACCTTCTGTGCTCCGACCTCTACTCCCCAAAGTCAGCCATCACATGTTTTGCTTTCGAGTAAAACCCTGAATGAGTCCTGAATCTGTTGTCGGAAAAATGAAATTCA